GAGAGAGCATACAGGTGAGCGAGTGAGGGGCAGAGAGGAGGAGAGATTGGATCCCAAGCAGGGTCTGGCACTCTCAGCGTGGAGGCCGACGCGGAGCTCAGTGTCAAAAACTGTGAGCTTATGACCTGAGCTGAAGTAGAGTTGGACACTTAACCGACTAAGCCACACTGGCGCCCCACGTTGCCAAATTTTTTTGAGTGTTTTCTAAACCTTCAGAAATAACTTTGCTTTATATTCGTGGTATGAAAATTTTTTCTGTAAATGGCTAGATAATAAATATTCTATACTCTAATGGCCACATACAGTTTTTAATTATATATTCTCTTTTAACTTTTTTTTTAACATTTTATTTTTGAGAGAGAGAGCATGAGTGGGGGAGGGGCAAGGAGAGAGGGAGACACAATCTGAAGCAGGCTCTAGGCTCTGAACTGTCAGCACAGAGCCCAGTGCGGGGCTTGAACCCATGAACAGTAAGATCATGACCCGAGCTGAAGTCGGATACTTCCCCGACTGAGCCACCCAGGCACCCTTACATATTCTTTTTTAAATTAAATTCCATACATTAATCTTTTTTTGAAAAAGATTTTTAATGCTTATTTATCTCTTAGAGTCAGAGTGTAGAGTATGAGCCGGGGCGGGGGGGGGGGGGGGGCGGGAGACACAGAACCCGAAGCAGGCTCCAGGCTCTGACCAATCAGCACAGAGCCCAATGCACAGCTCAAGCCTACGAACTGTGAGATCGTGACCTGAGCTGAAGTCAGATGTTCAGCTGACTGAGCTACCCAGGCGTCCCCCCGACCATGCATTAATTTTTCAAATATACTTATTTATTTAGAGAGAGGGGGCAAGCATGGGTTGGGGCGGAGACAGAGGGAGATAGAATCCGTAGTAGGCTTCATATTGTCAGCACGAGCCTGATGCAGGGCTTGAACTCGGAAACCATGAGATCATGATCTGACCCAAAATCAAGAGCTAGATGCTCCTAATTTTTTTTTTTAAGTAACCTCTGTGCCTAATGTGGGACTTAAACTAATGACCCCAGGATGAAGAGTCACATGCTCTATATAGTGAGCCAGCCCGTTGCCCCTACATACTCTTTTTTACACAGCCTTTAAAGGATGTAAACTATTTTTAGCCCTTGGGCAATACAAAAATGGGCAGCTTGTTTGAGACCTCCTTAGAGGGCTGTTGATACATGGAAATGCACTTCCTGTCGCATCTTTTGTATCAGTTGAGTCAGTGGTATGTATCCCTCTTGTGGAATAATTTAAACAACTCTCTTTGAAGATAGTATAATTCTCAGTGTTGTGCTTGGAACTGAATCATGCAGTTATTATGAGGTATGTCTTAGAATATACAACATATTCTGGTTATATTGGCTTGTGATATAGACTGAAATGGCCTTTGCCCTGCGGGCTCTTTGAAGGTACTTTATATTAAGACATTAAACAGAGGTACTTTTTGCATTGGGGTTTCTTATTACATCCTCTTCCCCAAAAGATTTTCTAGGGGAGTTTCACAAACAGTTGAATTTTTTTAAATGGAGGTATTTTTGAGAATCAAGAACTGCATATATTTAAGGTGTACAGTTTGATAATTTGAAATATAATTCCCACATTCAAGCTAGCAAACAAAAAATTGTGGTATGGGGGCCCCTGGGTGGCTCAGTCGGCTAAGTGTCTGACTTCGGCTCAGGTCATGATCTCGCGGTCTGTGGGTTTGAGCCCCACATCGGGGTCTGTGCTGGTAGCTCAGAGCCTGTGGAGCTTGTTTCAGATTCTGTGTCTCCCTCTCTCTCTCTGTGTCCCTCCCCTGCTCATGCTTTGTCTCTGTCTCATAAATAAACCAAAAAAAAATTTTTGTTTTAAATTGTGGTATGAAATTTAGGGATTGGTATAGGCAAGCTCCTCCTGTCACCTATTTGAAATATATTAAAGAGTGATCACAATTCCTATCTATAATTCCAATTGACATTTACATTTGAATATTTGTTTTATTTCTAGGCTCCCGGGGGGCTTTCTGTGAAGTGAGACCAGATGATAAAAGAATTCTGGAATTTTACAGCAAGTTAGGCTGTTTTGAAATTGCAAAAATGGAAGGATTTCCAAAGGATGTGGTTATACTTGGTCGGAGCCTGTGAAATTTGTTGGCACTGTGAACTGTCCGAAAGTCTCTGAACTTCACCTGGAGGGTGGTGGTTGGGGTCTTCATACAGTTCAGCCTCTGGAATGGCAAAAAATCAGCCAATTGGGATTGGAAACGAAGACTATGTAAAACTCACCTATCACACTTTGAGATTACTCATTGGTTGGAAGATAGTATTGATGCAAATCCTTTCTGAAACAGATGTGGGCCTCCTTTTTGGGTCTTGTGTTAGGTGCCAAGACCTCTTATGTGGGCTTATAGGGAGGAGGTCTTCAATAAATGTAGTCAGCACTGTGTTCTGCATCCAGCGTGGTTGCATTTCTCACCTAAGAGTAATCAGAATCATTTTTCATCCTCCTTGGCTTACTGGATGAAATGTCTTTCATTCTTTGGAGACATGGCAGAGATGAGAAAGATTTAGTGGGTTTCAGAGGCTTCAGAGTAGAGATTCCAAGTGGGATGGTTGTGGCATAGTGTAAGCAGAATAAATGATTTTAATTTTGGGCAGTTTTCCTGCTCTTTGTAAAGCCATGGCCAGTTGTCTCTTGTAATGACCATTGGTTCAGGCATGTTGTGCTTTGTAGGGACAAATGTGCAGTTGTTTGTGGCAAAAGCCTAAAAATGGCAGACTTGTAAATTTTTTTGTATATAAACTAGCTGTAACCTGACTATCCTTTGTGTTCACTGTTTTTGTAATTCTTTTTCCTTTTGAAAAAGGGTGTGGTTCAGGATGGCGCACTTTGAATAATGTACATTAGTGGAAGGTGGATTTTCTTTACTTTTGTCTTTTTTTTTTTTTTTTCTTTAAAGTTTTATTGTTTTTAGAGTGCCGCCCACCTAGGGCTAGGCCATGACCACTTTGGGTATGAGAGCCTAATTTCATGGGACTCAAGTCTTGCAAAGTGCAGTCACTTCTGGAAATTAACCTCAATGCAGGTCAGCATGTGAAATGTTAGTTTTGACATCAAGTAGGGTTCAGGGACTTACTGGTCCCATTTGCCCAGAGATCAGTTGTCCTTTAATTTCAAGACCTGTTACAACTGGTTTTATTAAATCAGAGTCTTTAATTCATGCATGTTTGTATCTGATTTTTAAGAGAAACAATGAGCACACTTTAACCAGTAATTAAGGTTACCCTTTTTCCTTTTAACCACAGATTCTGAAAGCTCCATGTATTTTAATTTAGATTTGGTATTTTTAGGGGTTCTGAGCATGAGGTTAGCAGGTATTCTCTGGAGGATTCATTGTTTTCATCATGGCTGGCTGACTTCTCCATGGATTCCTAACAGTATTTTGTTATCTCACTTCCCTGTAGTTTCATTATCAGCTGTTTTACTTTGAGCTGAGGTGGGAGGGGCAAGGAAAAGGCATTTTCCTTCCATCTGTATGGGCTTTGAATCATAAAGCGTTGTACCTAGTGGTACCTAGTGACTTTCAACCAGGGCCTGTGAGTGTGCACTGAGTTGGTAAGATGAACGGAGAGGAGGCAGGAGGCCTCTTTATTTTCAGGGTAGAAACCTTTAACTGATAGAAGGGAAGATCTCTACAAGATACTGTTTAAAACAGTTTAATGTCACTTGGTTTTCTCTTAAGGTACATTGTGTACTATAGTGGGCAATTCTATCATTTGTTCGGAGGATTTCAGTGTCCATCTATGGAATCAGGATTTTTAGCAAGTTTGCTTGTGGTTTTATCTTGGCTTATAATAATCATTTTGGCTGGTCTGGTCACAGATGCTAACCATGAAACATATGTCCAGGCCTGTACCTTCATCACTCTAGGATGGTAAAGTGCTATGCTCTCTTCTATGGTTATGAATATTTATTAAGGTTGGAATGACATTTCATTGATTGTTCAGATCACAGCTCAGTTCCTGTAGAAAACGAACTGTAAAATTATCTGAAGACCATGCAAGAGGCAAAATAAAACTTGAAGTGAATATGTGTGGTGGTGTACTGTCTACTTCCTGTTTCTGCCCTGTACCTTTTCATGTGTTTATGTCTGACAAGCATCTTCCATAGCTATTGCGAGTTAGGGGCTGCACCTTCCCATTTCTATCTCCAGTAAAAGACTTACAGATTTTCCTCATGGCAAGGTAAAAAAGGAAAACTAGTTCTTGCCCAAGCCAGCCTCCTCCCACAGTTATATCCTGGGTGTGAGTTAGGGCCGCTAGTTTGAATGAATTCCCAACATCTAGTAGGATAAGGAACACAGTTTGCCTGATTTGATTCTTCTGTCAGAAGGTGAGAATTAGGGGTGGGGGAGTTGCCCAAATTATGGGACTTAGTACTCTTAAGGTGGAAGGATGTTCTGGGCCGATTGGTAATTAGAAGCTCCAAAGTGTGTTTGCCAGAAGTAGCCGCTAGCTGCACATCGAAGCTAACATCCTTTGCTATCAAGCGCCAGCCTCCAGCCAGCATATTTAGCTCAATAAAAATGGGCCTTCTGGGTAGTGAAGTTCAGGGCGTTAGAGCTGGAAGCATAGAAGCCGACTAGGAAAAGGGCCGAGTGGTTCCATGGTTCTAGTAGAAAATAGCCCTGGGTGAAAAGTCTTCCTTCAGGAGCCTCACCTTGCTTGGAGGAAAGGCGAGTAGCGATTTCCTTTGCTTTTATGAGAAAAAAGCTGCCTTAAAACTTGCCTTTACTAAGGGAATTGGAAAGGTTTCCTTTTTTTTTTTTTTATTATTAAATGTTTTATTTACTTCTGAGAGCGAGAGTGAGCAGGAGAGGGAGACAGAATCCAGAACAGGCTCCAGCTCCAGCTGTCAGCACAGAGCCTGACATGGGGCTCGAGCCCACGACCTGTGAGGTCATGACCTGATCCGAAGGCGGCCGGTTAACCGACGGAGCCACCCAGGAGTCCCGGAAAAATTTCCATTTTTGTATCTATTCTCCCTTTGACGAAAACTTGCCCTGGTTTGGGGCGTGGAAACAGCAGAGGGTGCGAGGAGCTGGAGAAAATGGAGGCAGGAGCCGCCCTCAAAGAGCCGTTGTCCTGGAAGTGCGGAACGACGTTAACATTAAGAAATCCATGCTTGTGTGATACTTCCCTGCAGTCCCGACACACAGGTCTGACCAGAGGCCGCGGGCTGCCAGGGGAGAAGGCCCTTGGACCGGTCGCGCCTCTGTCCCACTCTGTGCCAGCGGCTCCTTTAAAGGGCGGGGCCGGAACCTGCGGTGAGTCCCCCGCTTTAGACGTGTCGGGGGCGGAGTCTCCAGACGGCCCTAGCAGCATGGCCGCCGGCGCCGCCGCCGCGTTAACGTTCCTGAGTCAGGAGAGCCGATGCCGGGCCGGAGGGGTCGGGAGTCTGCGGGTCCCAGCTCCGGTCACTATGGACAGTTTTTTCTTCGGTATTGAGGAAAGGAGGGGACGAGGGTGGTGCTAGGGCGGTCAGGGGCAGGGCTGAACAGGAATGCAGATAAGTACACGACGTGGGCTGAGGCGGAGGGGGCCCCGTGCGCGGCAGCCCAAGCGGGAGCGGATGGCGCGACTGCTGCCCCCGATGTGCCCGGCGGGGCCCAGGGCAGAGCGCCCCAGGTGTTCTGAGAAGTGAGTGCGTAAATGGCCGGTAGCACCACGGCTACACGTGACAAGGTTTGGTGGAACACCCCCCGCGCACACTCAGGCACATTCACACTGTTACCTCTTCCAGGCTGTGAGCTCTCCGGCCACACCCGCTCTTTCACCTTCAAGGTAGAGGAAGAGGATGATTCGGAGCATGTGCTGGCTTTGACCATGGTGAGGGGTGGGGAAAGGTGGTGGTGGTGAATAGCTGGACCTGAGCAGGCAACTTGGGGCCCTCCAACCGTCACCCCAATTCCTTTACTGGGAATTCCCTCCTCTGCCTAACTCCCACATGGGTGGCTTTCCTGGGTGAGTGATCCGGGTACCACTGGGGTGGGGCAAACCGTAGGGTAGATGCCTCCACTTGTGGTGTCAGTCCTTGCTTGGGGAAACCCCAAGAACCTGTGTACTCTCCCCAGCTCTGCCTCACCGAGGGGGCCAAAGATGAGTGTAATGTGGTAGAAGTCGTGGCCAGGAATCATGACCACCAGGAGATTGCAGTCCCTGTGGCCAATCTCAAGTTGTCCTGCCAACCCATGGTGAGTTGCCTGGCCATATGCTGAGGTGGTGGCCGTGGTGGTAGTGATAGTGGTGGTGGTTAGGAATTGCAGACCCAAGGACTGACTCATCACAAGATGGGATGGCCAGGCCTTCATCTTTGTCTTTCTTCCAGCTCAGTTTGGATGACTTCCAGCTCCAGCCACCTGTAACCTTCCGCCTCAAGTCAGGTTCTGGCCCTGTGCGCATCACTGGGAGGCACCAGATTGGTGAGAGTCCTCTCCTTTGTCTCCAGTGGGTTCTGCCATCAGGTCTCTCCTCACCGCCCCCATCCCCACTCCTTCCCCGTCCTCCTTATCTCCTAGCGGAGCTCCCATCCAGACGATGTGTGATGTTGCCTCCACTTTCTGTCCTACTTAAGCCTCCCTCCTGCATGAAACCTGTCTCAGCTCTTCCACCTACACTAATGTGGTCTTCTTGGCTTTTTGTCATCTCTAATTTAGTATCCGAGGTTCTTCCCACCTAGACCATAAGCTCTGGAAGGTCAGGGTCCTTGGCACCACAGGGCATGAATAAATGACATGTGGTATGAAGGGGGTCTGGCTTTAACCTCCTCTTTTACTGCTCATGTATCCACTAGTTACTATAAGCAATGACGTTTCTGAGGAAGAGAGTGAAGAAGAAGGGAGTGAGGAGGAGGAGGCGGAGTTGTGTCCCATCCTGCCTGCCAAGAAGCAGAGGGGCAGGCCCTAGCCTTGGTGAGTGGGGGGAAGTGTGTCCAGCAAGGTCTGGGATGGGGCAGGAGTAGGTGAACATGGCCTTGATGCTGACCCCTTGTTTGCTCTCCTCAGGTCACCTAGCTGCCTGCCACATGTGCCATGTACTATGTTCCTGTACAAGTTTCAAGAAATTTAAATGTGTCTTCTCTGTTGAAGAGGAGGGATGGGTGGGTGGGTAGGGGGTGGTCTTGGGCTGGTGCTTGGAGAGAGGGTGGTCCTATTCTTCATAAGGGCCCTGGTGTTTCTCTAATCTTATGCCATATCTGGGGCTTCCCTTTTCTCCAGGAGTGGGAAGAGCTCTGAACTTCTCTCCTGACCCTGTCTCCCCACTTGCCTGTGAGATTGGATGTCAGCATCTGAAGCTCAGGAATACACATTTTTAATACTTTTTACATTTTTGGATAAAGGTTGAAATAAAGTGATGTGGAGTTTTTTTTTGCAACTCATTTGTGTGGCTTCTTTACCTGCTGGGGTGGCATTCCCCTAGGGACCACCAGGTGGCACTGTGGCAGCACCGAGGGTGGCCCTGGGCCTGGGGAAGGTGAGGAAGTGTGGGATCCTTCTATCCCTAGGACCCCAGTGGCCAGGCCAGGCCTGGGCCCCAACTGCCTTACTAAAAGAGGACCTCCCAACACCAAGCCCATTCTCAGTCCCTACAGGTGGGGGAGGGCCATCCCAGGAGGTTATCAGCATCCAAACAAGGGGCCTGGGCCTCTGTCAGCACTCAGGCTGATGGGCAGGGGGGCAGATAAGGGGGCTTAAGCAGTCCGAGGAATGTGCATCCCTAGCCCCATGAGGGGGCTCAGGCCCTGAGACAGCCTGTGAGGGGTGAGAGGCGAGTCTTTGCTCCTCCTTCCAGTCTTGCAGGCTGTCTCTGAGCTGGTCTGGGCCCTTAGAAACCTGATTCCGGGGGCCAGATGGAGGGGGCTGGCCAGATTGGGTGACAGGGAAACCAGAATCCGGGTGGCCTGGCATATGGGGGCAGAGAGAGGCCCCTGGGATTCAACCTCCTGGGCTGAGGGGTTCCTGACCCCCAGCACACCGCCTGGCCTGGGGAATCTCTGGTGCCTGTAATCAGGTGTTCTGAGGTTTGGTCGTTGCTATGCCAGGAAGAGAAAGGGAGATACTTGGTGTGAGCATTAGTGTGTATGTGACTGATTCTGGGGTCAGCAGTTCAGCAGCTGTGTTGATGTGGGTGGGTGGGTGGGGTTTCAATGTCCCACAAACAAGCAAACAAACAAAAGGTTAACTCCTGAGACAGCCTGGGGCCAGACATGCTGAGGATGGACAGACTACAGGGCCTGGTGGGGTGGCAGGGCCAGGCCTACTCCCTCCCACACTGGCTGCTGGGCAAATGAGTGAACAAGCGGGAGGGATCCCTAGATAGCCCCAAGGGCCTGGTATTGGGGCAGTGTGGAGACAGTGGAGAGAGTGTCCCAGAGTACGGAAAAGCATTCCAGCTTCAACACATCCCTGAGTAGATTGCCCCACTCCTGGTGAGGAGCTGAGGTTCAAGCTCTAACCTCCCTTTTTCTTCAAGTTAAGAATAAAGGAAGGTGTGATTTCTCTCTGTGTTGCAGTGATCAGGGTCGCAGGCCCCTTTCTCCTCTCCAGGAGAACTGAGGTGCTTACATCAGGAACCAGCGTGGAAGAGCAAGCCAGGCTGGAGACCATTCACCTTCCTGTGGCAGGGGTCGTGAGGGAGGGGGAAATGCAGCTGGCGCCCTCTGGTGGGCGACGTTGAAATCACGTGTGGCCGTGCGGCTCCCCACGCCGCGTCGCCGGGGGCTAGGTGACTGATCGGGGCTGCCTAGGCTTAGGCAGAAAGCGAGGAGTAAGTCACTGAGGCTGACTTCATTCGTTCTTCGACTGATTCGCTAGAAGAGTTCCTGTTAGAGCCCTTCCCATCCTCCTGTCGCCTATAACCTCCAGAGTCCTCGGTATGTGCTCGGTTGGGGACTCCAACTCGGGAGACTGGCTGAGTGCAGAGAAGCCATCTCTGGGGGAAGCCTCCCCAATCAACCCATCTACCCCCCTGCGCGTGGCCCCGCCCGGATATTTACCGCCCGTGAAGCCGCTGAGTGCTCTCTGTAATCTTTGTTCCCTGGGTGGGTCTCCCTGCAGCCCAGACCCGCTCCTAGCACGCTCCTGCCCACAGTCGGGACCCAGTCCACACCTTCCCCTTCCTTCCAGGAGTTTCCTGGCCCGAAGGGGAGCCCCGCGGACTGAGTTGGGGACTGTTTTTTTCCTTCCCCGCCCCCGCCTCTCCTCGATGCCCCTTCTGCCAGCTCAGCGCCCAGTAGGAGTACTGCCAATTCAATTTGGCCTCGGAGCGCCGAGGGATGAAGGTGTAAACCGTGGTTTGCAGACCACTGGAAGACGGACAGCCTTGTATTTGGGGTGCGAGGGAGACGACTCCCAGGCTAGACGCGAAGTGCTTAACCCAGTCTTGGCGATTTGCATTTGAACAGTCGGTGGAGAGTCCGCGGCGCTTTGAACGCCGGGCGCAGGAGGCGCGAGTAGGAATGAGCTTCAATCCAGGCAGCCCGCGCCGGCTGGTGTGGATTTGAGGGGCCCAGGGTGGGCCGGGGGCGAGGGATGCGTTTGGAAGGAGGCTGAAGGTGTGTGTTTGGGTCCCCGCTAGGGAGTGTTTGCGGAGAGGGGCTGTTTGTGTTGGCAAGGAGTGTGTGTTTGTGTTTGCAGGAGGCGAGGGTGTGTGTGTGTGTGTGTGTGTGTGTGTGTGTGTGTGTTTGTGTTTGCGGAGTGTGGGGGCGGCCAGGAAAGGTGGCCGGGCTGTCACTCAGCGATCAGGTTGACAGGCGCTCCCTCATCAGGTCCAGGGAGCTCTGATTGCAGATTCGAGGAAACAAAATAGCAATTGTAATTACGGGGCTTTGATAAGATAAAGGAAGGAGCGAGCTGGCCGGGAAGCGAGCAAGCAGTGAGGAAGGGACACAGCGGCCTGCTGGGGCCCCGACAGAATATTTGCATCTGTCACTCACAGGGCTGATGGGACAGTACCTGGCGCCCTATGTGAGGGTGTCCCCATCTGCTCCCCTCCCCACCCCCACCTCAAGCCATAGACTTTTGGAGAGAGGAACTCTCCCAAATTGATGAATATTCAGTTTGGGGGAAAGTTCTCCAAAAGCAAAGGAATTCTTTCCTGTAGAGAGGCCCCTTGATAGAGGCTAAAGTGTACTAAAACCTTGACCTCCACACTTTAAGGTGCCTGGATGCCCATCTCCTCTGGGGGTGGGAGGAGGGTGGCCTATGATCATTGAGGCTCAGCTCAAGGCCTTCAGAACCTTCTGGGAGCTCCGGAACCAGAGTTGGACCCCTAGTCAGATGCCTTGGCCTCCACCCTCCCTCCAGAGAAGGGCAGGTCCCCAGAGTGAGTCTGGTTGTGGCTCCAGGTCTATGCACACTAAGAGTGGGCTGGACTGTCATGCCCCCTGTCTGAGTGCTGCTTCATGCTGTTCTCATCAGACTTTTCAGAGGGCCTGGTCTCGGGTAGGGAGAAGGCCCATCCCACCCTCTGCTCTCCATCTCTCCATTGACTCAATCACACACACACACACACACACACACACACACACACACACAC